CTACAAGAAAGGTCATATGCAATTTTCCCGTATATCCGGTTTGGAAGTTATTAGTCAAAAACGAAAATTTGGGAGAAATTGAAGGGGTACCCCTTGAAAAAATCTCGGAAAAATCGAAAAATTTTTGTTGTTGTTTATTATTAGCAATGTTCTTCCGACGTCTGATTTCTTTTTAAAAAATGCGTTTCTAAAGTGCATAAACTTTTGGGATTGACTGTATAGCCAATAGATCCTTGTAATATTACTAGCATTTATATCAGAAAGTATTGTTTATTCCGACCCTATCTATTATCGACGCTTGAGAAAATCCGGCGGATTCGAGCGAGAATATCCAGCTCGAGATAATGCGGTTCAGTTTTCGACGAGGAGTGTTTAATTTCGCCGGCTGGCCTGGCCTGGCTCGTGTCCCGGTTATGTAGTTGCGAGAGGTCGTTGGAAATCTGTTTAAACTAATGGCGAGTAGACCCGGGGATTTTGCATTAACGCGCACGTTAATTCATTGTAAATATACTCGGTATATATTCGTTTCTCTATATTTCTATGTACATATCATTAGTATATTACCCAGCGACTAGACATTGTTTGTGTATATCGCACGTAACAGTGCCTATCACTACCACCACCTTTTCCGAATGTGTTCGGGTGTGAACTACTCTCTTGTGTAATTCTGCATGTATGCCGTGTTATATGCGCAATTTACATACTGCCGCGTTCGATTCGCGTTTACCGATGCTATAAACACTTCTATGATAATAGGGATCCGGTATTAACCAGCTCAGTTATCACCGTTCATTAATCATCCCCTGTTGCCTGGAGACGATGTTTTCCAATGTCCAACCGCGTTACATCGTGTTCTCGAAAGGCCGTGACATTTGCGATCTACACTAAAGTTGACCGGGTGTCGATCTTTACACGTCTCATTGAAAACAGTGATACAATAAAGCAAATTCAGCAATATTTCTATATCGTACAGTTTTGTGTTGCGCGATTTATTTCCTTCTTCCTTGCATTGGGATAATTAATAATATGCCTGTAGATGAAATACAATCTAAATTTTTAGAGAAAAATCTGCTTGAACTTTTTCTCAAGAATTAAAAGTACTTTAATGCCTACAATCACTGTTAGCGTAAATTTTAGCTGGAAGAAAACTTTCAGGTGCTGCTGTTTAGTTTAAACTCAAATAGAACTCGCCTACTCTGTTTTCGAACACTTCACCGTTCTCCTTGGTTATATTTAAAAGGAAACGGGCGAGGGATTCATTAATGTTGCGATCTTTTCACTTATCCCGAGATTCAATATTTATTTTAGACACGTTATGCCAGTATTAAACGTATTGATGATTATTAATTTAGGAAGGTAATTAGAGTCGTAGGTATGATCTTGAATCTTAATATTATTTCATTGTATCGCTTACACAATTGATATCTTTTATTTCTATTCACATTACTTTTGTCATTCTGTATCTTAACTTTCAATTGCAAATGACACTTGGCTTGGGACTTGAAAATAGGCCATAAAAGAGATTATGATTCCTCCCAGTTACCGTGTAACGTTTAACCGATCGCGATTGTTTCTGGTTGCCTGTGCAAAGCACTACGAAACGATTGGCTGATTCTATCTGTATTTTCCTAGGATCACCTGAATTTTACGGACGACATTTCACCGATGCTTCGTTTGTACAATTCACATTGTATCGTTTTACCTTGTCGCACAGTTCGCTGTGTTTACATGCGAATTTATAGTAATGCATTCTCGATAAACCGTATCACTTTAACGAAGCGTGAAGCTTCATTGAAAACTCCGGTCATCCTTGTCCGCCGCATTACGAAGAAATCGATGCGTTTATCGTCGACCTTGGTCCACTTTTTACATCCCTTAAATAGCGGAACAATACAAAACAACCGGCTTCGTGACACGAAGTTATCGATAGCTTCTCGATATAAAATGGAAAGTTTTCTTTCTCGTGGAAACACTTTCGCTGTGCTTGTACGTAAATATAAATTCATTATCAGGTATATTCGCACAAGATAAATGGAGCTCCTTCGTAGATCGGTATCTCCGTGTTTTTTAATGATACTAAAGAATTAATGTTTGTATTCTAAAGTGCCTACAATATATAAACCTCGTGATTCATTCAATAATAACTCTTTGAAAAGGTTTATCCTCCGTAACGAATCGCTCAAACGATTGAAGAACACACATTCGGTATCACACTGGGCTAGTGGATAGTATCAAATACGTATCACTAACTCGAACATTCGCGATTCGGGTTTCGGTCGTGCGACGCGTACACAGAAGGGGTGAGCAGAAAATGCAGGTGCGGAGGGTTAAATACGGGCCGTCGGCAGCCGGCACGGGTTGTTGCGTTGATCGCGCAATAAACGCCGCTTAACTGGCGCGGCAAAAGTGCAATACAGCGCGTTGGGGCGGGCGAGGGGTGTCCAGCTAGAAACGCGCGACAGACCCGTCAGAAAACGCTTGTTGACATTCGATGCATGCGCACCGGCCGTGAAAAGGACCCGCGCCGATGCCGAGCCCATAAAAAACAGTAAAAATTACCCAGTGCGTGTATAATTCGACGTACACCAATACTGAAACTGATTACTCGTTGGGAAAAGAGAGAGAGAGAGAGAGAGAGAGAGAGAGAGAGAGAGAGAGCAATGGGATGGAACGTGGAGGGTGCGTTTGACGGTTCGAAGGGAACATTGCTTTATTGTCCACGGAAGAATTGTCACCGTCAGTGTATACGGTGCACTCTGACGGCCGGTTAGTTACTGCCTCGTAATGCGTGGCATTATCCCTGAAAAACACGGAATGTCGCGTGATTTTCGGCCGCCATTAAGCGCTCCGTTCGGCGCTTTACCGACGCGCTCACCGTGTCTCGATAACAGCGGCCTTTCAATTTCAATCGGCTCTGGCCGTGATTATTATTAATCAAGAATTTGCGAGATGTGGTTTTAATTATTATAGACAGCTTCAAATAGACTAGTTGTCATTATGTTATTTAATTAGATGAATAAGACGTTAATAGCTGATTCATCTAATAAAATATTTATCTATCATACAAGTACATGA